AGAGCGGTGATGCGTTCCAAAGTGCCGCAATAATATTACAAGCAGCAGAGAGAGAATCAGCAGTGCTGGAAGCGGATGAGTCTCCGAGCTCAGAGGAAACATTAAGTGAATTTATAGCTGAAAAGGGACAAGAATGCACCTCAGTAATTTTTCCAGACATTAAGTGCTCACCTGTTCAGAAAGAGGAGGCGACTGAGGAGAGCTGTAGCAACTCGACGGAGAGTGAAGGGAAGGGTGGGGGTCTGCCGATCGCACTCTCCCCAGCCGGAGACAAGGATACAGGCACGGTCGGCACAGAGGACAAAGCTCTGGTCACCTATTCCTCTCCATGTGTCCTTGTAACATGTGACTGGAAGGTGGAGATTTCCCGATCAAAGGAGAGAAAAGAAGAGAGCGAAGAGGAGGGGAAAAAGGCAAGCGAAGGCGGAGCACAGAACACCGCAAATGCCGGCAGGGTGTCACAGACAGAGGCAGCGACCGAGACGTGTCCATCCCATCGCATCACAGCATCACCAACGGCAACACAAGACCAGAGTGACCTCATCCATCCTGTCACAGCAGGCACAGCCCCATTTCCTCTGACCATCAACAGCATAAACGACTGCGACTCCATCAGCCCACCCCCTCCTCTTTCCCACATAAACTCTACAAAGACTGAAGCGCAGAGGGAAGAAGAAGCTAATCTGAATCTGAGCCCAATTGCATCAGGAGCAGACCTGCCAGGCAGTGATAGATCACTTCCACCAGCAGTTTCTTTAGAAAACGAATGTCTCTCTGCGCAAGCCAACGATCAACAGGTACAGAGCTCTTCACAGACTAGAACCGCAAGCTGTGACACATCCGTCAAGACAGAGACACAGCAACAAAAACAAGAAATAACTCCTACAAGTGAAGACACATCTCAATCTACTAAGCTACAAGTAAACATGAGGGATATCGCCGCAAGTTGTACCAAAGTGGAAGGGTCTCCAAAAGGTATGCAGAGCTCTTTTGAGAACCAAAAGGATACAACACTGAAATGCCAAATGACTGAATGTGCCTCTTTGCCCCCATTGATGGTATTTGAAAGTCTACATCATCCAGTAAAAGAGGCTAGCTTCAACTTTAAAGGTTTTCTCAGCATCAGCAAACCAGCACTTCTTCTTCAGACAGAGCCGATCACTGGCCAGAGAAATACTGACCTGCATGGCGCAGAAAGGGAACATACTGCCTCTGAAGAAGAAGGTAAAGATGAAAAAAATGGAAAGCAGAGAGAAAAAGTGGAAATGACATTTAAAGAGCCAAAGGACTGCAGAGAAATGACCAGTACATCTCAAACACAGGGTGATACTACTGTAAAACTTGGAGAAAATGTTAATGTAAATATGAGTAGCTGTGAAGACGATGGAAAAGTGACAGATGAAACTCCTGATGTCAGCAAGGGAAATCCTGTTTCATCACTGTCAGCTGCAGGTGAGACCACCTGTGTTAATGAATCTAAGGATGTGGTTAATGAAACTCTGGAAGCAACTGAAGTAAGTAAAGAGAAGCAAGAAAATAAAGAATGCTTGAATGTTACTCAGATCACGCCAAATAATACAGATGAGTCAGCATCCACTGAGAAGAACAGTGTTTTACTACCGGATGTATCTCCACAAGAGGGTCGTAACAGCAGCCCTGCTGTGGATGGTGAGCGGGCTGATATGACTGAGTCTGAAGGAGTTGAACAAAGACATACAGAAATTCTACTTACCACCAAGGAAAAGCTGGATGAATCAAAGGGATGTGGGTTGCCTGAAGCAAGTGATATAGAACTAACATGTCCAGGTAATTCAGAGAATCTTGTGAATGATAGTCGAGAGCATGAGTCAAAGCCAGAAAAATACACATGTGAAGTTGAGTCAAAGGTAAAAACCAGCTCCATGTCTCCAGCAGCTGCCCCAGACATAGACAGCATGTGCCCTTGCACTCAACCAGACAAGAAATCCAACACCGAGCAGCCTACTACAATCTCAGAGATGCAATTTCTGTCAAAAGTAGATAAGTGTGACGACATGCTGCCCTATCAGACTGAATCACAGTTCAGTAATGAAATGATGAAAAATTATGCAGCAGATGCTGGGGACAAAACTGTCCCTTCTCTTCCTGCAGCGGAGACTACAGTAACAGCACAAAGGGATCTTTCCTCAACTACCACACAAAGCACTAACAGTGATGCCAGGGATGTGTCTGTCATTGTACTAAAGGCTCCAGGCCCAATGCTGAGTCACTGTGAGTCCGTTAATGACTGTGATATTGCTGTAGCAGGACCCGTGGAGGATTGCAGTGTGAACTGTGTGTGTGATTCTGACACAGAGATTGTTAAGAATATTACAGACAAATCTAATCAACAACTGGATGTGAATGAAGAGAGGTTAAGATCTCAAAATGCAGATGATCTGCTTTACTCTGTTGGTGTCTCCACACAGGAAATTGCAGCATCATCTGGGAACCATTTGCTTACAACTGACAGACCAGAACAGGCAGGTGATTCACCGCTAGTGTTAAAGAACCCAGATATTGTTGGAAATGCAAAGATGAAACAGAATGACGGATCTAAGTGTGTTGGAGAATTGGAGGTTGTTAGAAAAGAGAAGAGTGAAGGACATTTAAATTCTGTATATGAAAATGATTTATGCAATGCACCGACAAATGCTACTACAGAAAATGAGGTTATTAATAACGACACATCTGAAGAATTCAAGCACATGAAAAGGGGAGAGGACAACAAGGAGTGTGTAAAGGAAGCCGAAGAAAAATTCAATGCAGAAAATGAAACCAGTTCCTCTCAGGAAGAAGGGATTGAACAAAAAAATGAAAAGCAGGGTGAAAGGAAGGAACAAGAAGTAATGCCTTTTAAGGAGCAGAAGCATAATAAAGAAGAGACAAATTCATCTGAAACATCCTGTGCTAATGAAACACTTAATTCTCAACCTGCTTTGACAATGCAACAAAGTCCTAATGATGAAATCAAATGTGATTCACTCCTGCTGCACTTGGAGGACAATCTCGCTACACTTCTGACTGAGGAACCTGTTCAACATGTGTCTGACAATGTAAAAATGAATAAAAGTGTATCCAAAAGATTCAGTCAGGTGATGGGAGGAGAGCAAAACGGGGAGATTGTGCAAGAAAATGAGGTACAAAATGTAAAATCCATTGCAGAAAAGGACAGCAAAAAAAGTGCAAATACCTCTCAAGAACAGAATGAGACTGCTGCAAAAGAAAACGCTGATCAAACACAAGGAGAAAATCAGACATTAATAAATCTCTCCAATCTATCAGGAGAAAAAAAACTATTAGATGAAACCATTCCAAGAGGAAAATTGCAGTCTAGCCGCATGCCTGATCCTGGTTTAACTTCTGAAGGGATTATAGAAGAGGCTCTGAGTTGTGGAGGGGCTGAAAAATCTCCTCCAGTCGTTGATCACACCCTGTCTGCAGTGGTGAATGCTTCTCCCGAGAGAGACCACACACAAGATCCAAGGGGTTTGAGCCTGTCAGATTTGGCATTTTCACAATCCGGAGAGCTCCAGCTGCAACAGAACTTTATGAGTGCCCCAGAAGCAATGTTAAGTGTGAGTAAAAGCAACATTTTAGAAAATGCTGAGACCAATAATCATGCAAATGCTGAGGCAAGTGAAAAGCAAGAGAAGGTGGTTATGTATTGTAGTGCAGAGGCTCCAAGATCCCTAAACAGCACATCAGAGAGTGCCGCACTGGTGGGGGGCTATAACAAAGATGTTGCTGTGTTCAATATATGTCCAGAGAATGAAAAGAAGACAATACAAACAATAGATCTTAATGGTGGGAGATTTCCTGTTTGTGGTGAAAGCACTTCAAATGAAATCCAAACTCAGTCAGCTCCCAACTTGTCTGTAACAGCATCGTCAGCTTCTGAAACTTCTAAAGTCAAACGGGTTATAGAGGCTACAGAGGCAAAAGAACCTGCCATCTCAGCATCACAGGAAAGTGTGAGTAAACATGCAGATTGTACCAAATCACAGGTCAGCGCGGATGAACATGGCAATGTGTGGAACGAAATCCCTGACACCAAGAAAGGCTCAGAATTTCCTGTAAATCACTCAAGTGGGTTCTCTGTGAGTCCCACCCTCTCACACCATGAAGCAGGACTAAAAACAGAAGAGAAATGTTTCGACTCCGTTACCCCTGGAGACACTGGAAACACTGAGATCAGTTCTGATTCAATGAGTGATGTTGCACAGATGTCTACAGCAGGAACTTCCCAAATTCAGCAAGAGAAAGAATTCGTTTTTCAGTCCTCTGATTGCCAGCTCTCCACCACCACATCTTCTGCTTCTGTGCTCCAAAAATGTATTAAAGAGGAAAAAGAGATAAGTGTGGATCAGGCCCCTAAAGATGCACTAGAACCTAACACTCCTAATTCCACTCCCCAGTCTGAGACAGCTGCCTGGAGGATGGAGCAGCTTAATAAGCATTTGTCAGAGCAATTCCCAGATGGTACCCAAAACACAGACGAGCAGAATACACAGTGTTCTGAACAGCAGTTACAACATGTAAGAACTTGTTTGGACACTGAAAAAACAATCAGTTCTATGAAAGAAGAAGACACCATTTCAAATGACGTACAACAGCAAGAAGGAATTCAAGAAGAGATAAGTAAACAGATGGCGGATGAAGAAAAGAACAAGGCCATTGAAAATGATCACATAGAAGTGTCCAAAGGGGCTGAACCCAAGTCTTCACAGTCTATAATTGAAGAAAGCATCTCCAAAGAAAACCAAAGCAAGTTGGAGGAGCAGTCTTTATTTTCCCCTGTTGAAGCAATAGTCGATAATGTAGACCAGCAAATTGAAGAAGTTTCTAATGGATCACTGACAGAAATGAAAGAGGCTGTGCCATTGTTATATCCTGAGACCTCTATCTGCTTTGTGACTGACCCCCAGGATTCCCTCCAGTCCCCTCCTGCAGTCAATCAACAGTGTAGTCAGCAGCCCACTAAGTATTTTATCCAAAACTTACGTGAAAACGCCACAAAGAAAGTTGAAAGTAGCAGTGAGCAAAGTCCAAACATAGCAGATAACTCTCCTGGAGACATAGAATCCCTTCTTATCAAAAAAACAATAGAGAAAGATGACAGGGAAGCTATTGAAGATGAAGTCAGCAAGGTGTCAACAGCTGCAGATGTGTTGCTGGGTTCAGGCACAGGAACAGAGCAGATATCACAGGTTATCGACAGTTCAGACAGCCAAATCCTAAGTGCAGTCTTTGTACCTGAGAGGTCAGATGCAGTCAACTCCTCTGACGGTTCTGATTGGCTCAGAGCTCTGAAGGAGGCAGCCTTCATGTCTCAGATCATTCCAGAGCACAGAGATGAGTCTACCTGTGGATCTACAGAAAACAGGTACATTTAATTTGATGTTTGTTTTTAAAATGAGAGACCGTGAAGGAAATTGACTTTGTTGCACTCACAGATATGTAGAAAGAAATGTAGTGCTTTTCATTGGCACAGGTACAAAAAAGTATGTTTTATTCTCACATGACGTTTTGAGTGAAAATGGAGCCAAGTACAAGTACTACAGCCCATTATCTCCTGAGGGTGACCTCAACAGTGACATCAACTCATGCCCTTTAGGGCAAGAAAGAATCCTTTCATACCCACGCACAAACACACACTGGGCTTCACATATCTGAGCGCCACACATACACTTGCATACAGGCTATAAGGAGTTTTCATTGAGACAAACAGTGAGCAAAATTTCTTCTTTGTTTATTTTCTCTCTAGACCATTTGAGACCCTCCGTTCTCCTCAGACTGATCTAGAATTCCGAACCCCAACTGAAGAATATTTTCCCACTGCTCCTGAAGAGAGTTTCCCCCCGTCACCCGAGGAGAGTTTTCCTGCTGCTCCTGAAGAGAGTTTTCCTCCAGCACCCGAGGAGAGTTTTCCTCCAGCACCCGAGGAGAGTTTCCCTCCTGCTCCTGAGGAGAGTTTCCCTCCTGCACCTGAGGAGAGTTTCCCTCCTGCACCTGAGGAGAGTTTTCCTCCTGCTCCTGAGGAGAGTTTTCCTCCTGCTCCTGAGGAGAGTTTCCCCCCTGCACCTGAGGATAGTTTTCCTCCTGCACCTGAGGAGAGTTTTCCTCCTGCTCCTGAGGAGAGTTTCCCCCCTGCACCTGAGGATAGTTTTCCTCCTGCACCTGAGGAGAGTTTTCCTCCTGCTCCTGAGGAGAGTTTCCCCCCTGCACCTGAGGAGAGTTTTACCCCTATTACTAAGCAGCCAGAAGAACCACCAGACTGCAGGTGAGACCTCCTAAATGCTCCTTATGCACTTTCATGAAATTATTTCCCACTTCCTTGTTTGTTATTGAGGTAGTTGCTACTTGCCGCAAAGAAATTCCCCTTAATGTAGACTACAAGATGCCAAAGTAGTTGTGTTTAGGTCCAGGGAACGACATAATTGATAGAAGGGTCATGCATTGCATCTGGGGTCGTCACTTTTTTGTGTTTTGTCTGTTTCATTGCTCAAGTTAACCAAAATACTACATTTAGATTTACATTTATTCATTTTGCAGACGCTTTTAACCAAAGCGACTTACAATTGAGGAATACATCAAGCAATTCATCTTAAAGAGGCAAACAGATGTAGGAAGTGCTCATAATACCAAGTTTCAGGCATTATTCAAATAAGTAATTACTATATGGGTGTCCAAAGACCTATTTGTTGAATATTTTTGAACACGTGTTTAGAATGGAGCATTGCAATGTACACTTAGCTTCCTTTTGGGGACTTTCTTATTTGCTCTCGTTTTGTCATTACTCCCCACTCCCTCTCTTGAGTCTATATCTGCTCTGTTGCAGTAGCCACAACAGATGAAAGTGGAGCACTTGGTGCTTGTCAGTCATAGGTTTTAGCCTAGCACCTCATTTAGAAAGACATGCTGGAGAGAAAGAAAGATAAAAGGAAAGAGAGAGTGGTGGACAAAGTGATAGGGAGTGAGAATTAGGGGAAAGAAGAGAGAGAAACTTTGTGTGCATTTGTCCCAGTATCCCTGAACGGCCCACTCTTTGTTACTTGCCGCAGATGTGGACTAAAGGAATTTTGCTGTCAGTATGTGTGTGTGTGTGTGCACGTGTCTTGCTTAAGCTTTGCTCTGTGTTGACAGAAGGTTAAATTCCGTTATTGTAAGGAATAAAGTAGATTACACAGGACTTTATGGGTGCAGTTAAGATACCTTTGCTGTTGGTAATGTGCAATAAACACCTCTGTAGACAACTTGTGTTGCTGTACTAAACCCGCTTTTAGACATCAACCCATACAATGCTGTGATACATATCGTTTGTGGCATGTGAATTTACTTTATTTTATTTTGGAGATGGTATTTTGAACTATGTGGCTTTTGAGGCTTTGTATATAAATGAAATAAAGTGCAAAACTATAGCCTGATATTTTTAGTCAGATGTTTTAGGCTAGCTACCAACTTTCCACATGTACAAGCTAATATTATCTTGTTAAGATAACTGTGCAGATTTTAATAAAAGCCTATAAAATGCCTTAGGTTACCTTTCAGTGAAAACTAGAGAATATTTATTTTCTGTAGTTATTTAGGAAGTTGCAAGGAAGTTTTACTTGGTCTTGGTGTTAGCGCCTCACCCGCAACAGCTGAATGAAAACACAGCAATGTTAAATTTGAGAGCTCATGCTAATTTTTTATAGTGCCAACCACAAAGTTACTAAATAGGTCACATACAACAGGCTTCTGTGTTCCCAGCTTTCACACATTTTATGTAGGGCAGATGAATATGTCATTTCCAAACTATTCCATGTCATTTAGCTAGCTTATTCCACATTTGTTTTTCATTTCAGTCTACTTTATAAATCTACTTGTGATTTTATGAACAAATGAAACTGTGTGGATGCATTGGCTCCTTTGTGGATGTGTGTGTGTGTGAGAGAGAGAGGTGGCTTGGAAACCTTGTGATGCGTGACAAGAGCTAAGCAACAGTTACCATGGCAACAATTATTAGCCATTGCAATTATTTTGTGTTAATGGAACACAGTTATGTTAGTGACGCTTTGAAAAGGGACTCTTACTCAAAATGTTTTACAATTTTACATTATAAAACGAGACAGTAGGCCTTAATAATTGCATTTATTATAAAGATAACAGTATGACGCAGCCCCTCTTAGCTCAAACCTAACCACACTGTACTTATCTAATTATGCCTTAAATATTGCTGTCAGTCAGATTGTAGTTAGGACTGTGAAAAGCTGTATGGCGGCTGTGTTAACAGTAGTGACGTTGTTATTTTTATGGCTGCTAAAACTCCAGCTCCCCCCTGCTGCCTTTATTTAGTACAGTCTGTTTGCTATTAAAAACCATGTCTGGACTCATTCCTATGGACACAGCTGCTCCTGGGAGATTAGATTTTGTGTTTGTGCTCTTCCCATTAACTGGTGCATTTGAAACTTTGTTGTGTTCATTAAAGTTGTGGTTTGTGGTTATGTCTAACATGCAATCTCCCACTATCCGGCTAAAGCGAAGGAAGGATAGGATCGTAATACTTTGATGTGTGCATAGACCTGATTAGAGGGCAATTCTGTAAACTGTCTACAACTGTTTCTGATGAGATAGAGCAGTGCTATGTACAGTTGTTTAGGCTGTGTGGTGGAGTGAGTTGTATTTTTAGTATGTGACATGAGATGAGGCACACCCCTTGACAGGAGCAGCTGAAGGGCTGTCTGCTGTTCTGCCTGTTGGATTAGGTTTTGTCTGTGATGCTGCTCAGCTATTGCCATTTTTTCCCTGCCGAGAGTGGAGTAGGGATGGTAGGAATGATATATATCATTACGTGATTTATTTTTGTATCAGAAATTTGATAGGTACAGATAAAGTTGTAAGTTTTGTATAAATGTATATATACAACATTAGTGAACAAATCAAAGAACAACTGATTGATTTATAATTCATAGCAAATATGAATACACTACCATTAAAAAGTTTAGAATTGGTAATTTTTTAAAACTTAATGTGTTTAAAAAAAAAAAGATTATTGTGCTCATTAACACAGCATTTATTTGAGCATGTAAAAAAATAAAATACAGTAAAAAGTATTATTATGAAATATTATTAAAATTGTAAATAACTGTTTCTCTTACAATTAATTATTAAAATGTAATTTATTCCTCTAAAAGCAAACTGAATTTTCAGCAGTCATTACTCCAGTCTTCAGTATCACATGATTCTTCAGATATCATTGTAATAAGCTGATTTGGTGCTCAATTAATGTAGAAAACAGTTGCTTAATATTTTTGCAGAAACGGATACATTTTGGATTCTTTGATAAATTGAAAGTTCAAAAGAGCAACATTTATTTGAAATATAAACCTTTTGTATAAATGTTTTGTATAAATTGAATAAATGTCTTTATTGTTACTGTAATAATTTATTTTCTCCATAAAATGATTAATTTATTTTATAAAAATCATACTGACTCCAAACTTTTGAATGGTAGTCTAGCCCTATTTATTTATTTTGCTTAGTTGTGAGAATTGTTTAATAATAATAATAATAATAATAATAATAAAATAAAAAAATAAATAAATAAATGGAATAAAAAATCTTGCTTAGTTGATGTCTGAAATCTGAGATAGCAAAAAACCTTATTTCTGTTGTGTACTATGATAATGGTTCTTATATGAACGATTTCATAGGTGCGTCTCTCCTCACCATTCCCTGTGTGTGTGTTTGCCTGTGTATTTGTGGTGTTGTGCAGGTCTCCTCTGGTAGAGGCTGCTGAGAGCAGTGAGCCTGTCCCCTCTCCCTTATCACCCCTACCACAGCACAACACTGCTCCTGCCCTCCCTGCCCACCTGCTCCAGGACACAGTCAAGTTCCCCACACCGCCCCCTACCCCTCTGGACAGGGCTCCCCCTGAGCCTCAGACCCTTCCTCCTGCTCGTGCTCCTTCTGGTCTACCCGAGACTCCCCCTGCTGCCCCTGTGCCTCCTCAAATCCAACAGCTCCAGCACTCTGAGCCTTCAGCAAGGTAGGATATGATCATTTGCTGAGTGTGCTAACTGATTGTTTAACAGTGTACAGTTTTTCTTCTTTAGAAGATTGTGAGGATGCCACATGTGTAGAGATACTGTACGCTCAAATTTAGTTTGTGTTATTTTTGCTTTGTGGTTATTTTAAGATCCTTGGAGGATTTTGCCACTCATATGCCCTCCCTGCGTGGGCAATACAGTTCACATGAGGCTGCTTGCAAATGCTCTTCATCCATTTAGTCTGTTCTTAACTATCAAAATGGTGAGAATTTATGAATACTGATTAGATTTAATTAAATCGATCTGACTGTTTTGTTTTGTTGACTGTGCTGCTGATAATAATAGCAGTGATGATCCTGAGGGATTTGTGACATACACTGTATGTACTGTATGTATAGAACTGTACACAGAGTATCTCATAACACCCTGTTTCCTCTGCGTCTGAAAGAATTGAAGCACCTAGAAATTAATTTTTCCATGAAGACTATTGGCACCAGGCTTTGTATGCATCTTTACAGCACTGTATATAAAGAATATAGTGGCCCTAAAATCATTTTTAATTCATGATTAAAGTGTTTGAAAGTCATTACATCCACTTGTTATACAACAAAATGTCAAACCAAGTGTCATCTCTGAGCAAATGATTCTAGCCTTTTCTCAGGACTAAATTCCCTTTTGTAGATATTTTAATTTTAACCCAGTTTCAAGGTGATTTTAGTGGTTGAAGTCACTTCTCTATGTTGCTTTAAGATACTGTATTGTATTGGAGTGTGCTGCTACTATTGTAGGTGACTCATTTCCATTTGTGCACATTGTTGTAAACGTTTTTACATCAATCAGAGGCTGTGCAGTGTTTGGATCGAGAGCAGGATGACTCGGCCACGTTGACAAGCGATGAGCTCAGCTTGCATTTCTTCTATCAGACAGCAGAGGGCGAGAGAGTGTGTATGTGTTTCTTTCAGTGTTGGAACTGAACTCTGCTGCCCACTGCAGCACACAGCTTGTAAACACACCAGAACAGGAATATAGCCTACAGTCTAGATAAAAAACTCTCCTACACTGTAGGACCCTCAGAGGTACACCTCTGCACCTTATCTACTCATAAAGGGATGCAGAATGCAGATGCAAGAACCTAATCTTAAAATCTTACATGTAAAACGCAGCATTTGCATAATGAGATTTATTTCAGAAGTGCACCACCATCCAGCCAAATATAAACTGATGCCCTGGGGAACCAGTTTGATGCATCTCAACATAAAACGCTGCCCACTGCAGCACACAGCTTGTAAACACACATCAGAACAGGAATACAGTACAGCCTAAAAACGGTCCTACCCTGTATGGAAAAAAATGTACCTTTAGTTTGTAGCTGGTACAGCACCCTCAAAGGTACATCTTATCTACCCATAAAGGGATGCAGAATGCAGATGCAAGAACCTAATCTTAAAATCTTACATGTAAAACGCAGCATTTGCATAATGAGATTTATTTCAGAAGTGCACCACCATCCAGCCAAATATAAACTGATGCCCTGGGGAACCAGTTTGATGCATCTCAACATAAAACATCCATTAGGGGAATGAAGCCTGTCCCCTCTGCAAACAACTACCAAGGGCATTCCGTCTTTATCATTTCTCTCACACTCTCACATTTTTTTCTCTTTCTTTCTCTTTGGAAGGTCATTTGTATTATGTATGATTTTGTATTCACTACTGTATATATAAGTTGCCAGTATTTGAACACAGTACAGTTCAGTTTTTAGGACACGTTTAGGTAAACATTTACACTTTTGTCTTGGCAAAATGTAGCCTTATATACCTGTATTCATCATACTGGTGGCAAACTGAAGGGTTTTATGGTCTTTTAACTTACCATGTTCATTAGAAAATTAATAAAAAAAAAAACAACAGATTGATAATTCATAGAAAATATAAATATGGCTCCCAGACCAAAAAGAAATAACTAAATATGCTCTCCTTACTCATATTCTATGTTTGACTGTTAGTTCAGCCTAGATACTAAAAGCCCATGTTATGAATCTTTAAAAAAAACCTGCCTTTGCAATATCTTTCAGTGGCTGCACTGCTTGAAAATGTAATTTTCAATTTCCTGCGTCTGAGCATGAAGTTGTCAGTACACACTATACACTCTCACTCTGCGTGTGACAGCATTGTTGTAAATGCCTTTTATTGTAAAATAATGAGTTGTCACATGTCTTCCAGCTGTCTGACACAGACAACCATTAAATTGGTGACAGGTCTTTAAAAATCCCTTCACTGTTGCTATAATTTATCATGGACGGCTGTGTTTTTTCAGCACGTTTGCTCTTAAAAATCAGAGTGAGAGAAAAGTAGCCCCTGGCTTCTGCTGAGAAGAAAACAAAAGCTGCATATAGATGCTGTAGAACACTGTGTTCCTCTGCTGGCACAGAATTTTCTAGAAGTAATAAAGCATATGTCCTTAAATCGCTGAGCTGAGAGAAGGGAAGTCATAATATGATGAGAGGTTTGAACAGACTAGCGGTCTCCAGCATTAGGATGGTTGGCTACAGAACCAGTTACCTTGACTAGCCTAGAGCCTTGAACATGCCATTGAATCTCATTTGTGTGAACACCCTCAAGCTACATTATTATCACCCTTTGTGTACTGGTGCATGTTTTTACTTTCTGTTTTTTATTTTCTATTTTCAAAAAGTTTTGGAAATTGCAGGCAGTGGACTTGTAGAAGAAATGTGTTTTTTCTTCCTACCTAGTACCAGTTTTTCTCTGGGCTAAAGGCATACGGGTCATTATTTACCTTGCTACTTGTACCGTGATATTTTATGCTCATATAAGCATACCATTTATTGAAGAAAGTACATTTAAAAAATGCATGTCTTGATTTAATTTTTTACTACACTTTGTTTGACTATTAATATTAATTATTAAATGCCACCTTCTTTTTGGACCATTAGTCAACAAATTCTCAGATAACGGAGCAGTTATTATGAGGCTTGTAGGAGTTTTCACCACTACTCCCTCACATTCACACCACGCCATTGAAGCTCAATGAAAATTCAATGAGCATTAAGGAGCCACTTTCACTCTCTCTGAAACCTTATCCACTGCTGTTGTTTGCTGGATAGTGTTGCTGTAGAAAAATGAATGCTTTATGAAATACTTTAACTTGTATTTTATAATTGTGTTTTTTTGTGCAGTCGATTTTTTTGTGCATTTTTCTTGAAGAGGCACTGCCCACTTTCCTTTTTTTTTGTGGAAAAGCCCCTGGCTCAGGGTTTCAGGTTCATCTTAACTTAGGCTAGCTAAGCTCTGTTTCTTTAGTGGTTCATAACACAGGAACATAACAAAGCTTCAGTTAACTTTGGGCCATGAAGTCTTTCCCTACTCTGTGTACAGTCCTCAGGCTCTATACTGTAAGTGAATAGGCAGATCTGTGCGAAAAGCTCTTTGTTCTGCTTTCTCATGAGTGAACAATAGATTTATAATCCTCATGTTTCAGATGTCCCCACCAATGTCCCAATTTCCCACAACTGCTGCTGTCTCATGCTGTAAATCAATATGGATTAGCTCGACCTGTGTGAATCGCTACTGCTCCCCTTCAGGCTCGTAATCTCTTTTCTTTGAGTTGTCTCATTTTCATTCTCATTCTCATTTTCATTTGTCCAGATCATACCTACAGACCCTTTCATAACATATTCATTGTGATTTTGAATATATCTGTCATTTGAGGACATTGGGACTGATGACTGCTTTCTGCCATGTCTTTTTGTTCTCAAGGGGGGTTGATATATCATGACTTTGACCTGAGCAAACAGAAAGATTTGAAACCTATGAAAGAACAGCAGTTGTAAATCAGAGACTCCTCAAGTCTGATGTACATGCAGTTAATTTATACTTTATTAGTTGATTTGTTTGGATGTTGCTGTTGATTTCATGATGGGCATTTATTTAAATATGTTCCTCTGACCCCATCAAAACCCATTTGACAGACATTTCTGAAGCTTTAACCCTCACAATGTAGAAAATGCACTTTCTAGAATCAAAGAATCTTAGTATGTTAACAATTCATTGCATTTTTAATTATGTACAGAAGAAATGTAAAATGTTTCATGTTTGATGCATGTTATCAAGCTGAAATATTGAATATGCTATAATCAATTTTTCATCAGATGATGGTGAGGAAATTTTCCTTTTTTCTTCATTTTTTAAGTATATTTTTCAAGATACTACTAAATGCCCTAGGGTCTCTCAGACCCCAAACAGACCATTAGGGTTAAGTTATTCAGTTAATTTCTGTAATGTGAGCAACCTGCAATGCCACTCCATTTTCACAGGGGAGAGTTAGTTGTGTGATTTAGGGGCAATAAAAAATAATAGAAACACAGAGAAACTATAAAAGGTGTTGCATAACAAAAGACAGGTGTGACCACATGCCTCAGTTTCTGTGTCTCGGTGTGTGAAAAAGAGACCTGTGTCTTTCAGCTTGGCGTGTGGTCGGCTATTGTTTGCATTCACTGTGCTGATCGGCACAAGAGACCTCAAATCGACAGGGAAAAGCTGCTCATCTTTTAAAGCACTCTGTTCCCTGGGGAGAGAGAGAAAGAGTGAGAGAGTTAGAGAGGGAGGGGTTATGGAGAAAACCAGCAGCCACTTCGCCAAACGCCACAACAAGCCAATGAGAAGACAGAGTTTGAAGACTAGCGAGCAGGAGCATCGCTTATTCCCTCCCTCTTCTCTTGCTCTTCGCATCCTTCCACATCTCTACCCATAAGGCTTAGCAGTCCTGTTCTATTGTTGTCAAGGATACAGAGAAAGATACAGCCTTCCCCTGATGCAATGTAGACAGAGACGGAGAAGGAGTCAGAGAGAGTGAAAGGAAGGGATGCTGAGGGCTGAGAGCGGGGCGCCTGTATGCCCCTGATGCCATCTGCTCCGGATCTACTGTAGCAAAGCAGCGTGTGTCTGACGCCAGCCCAAGGGCCCTCAGGACGAGAGACGTG